GTACTAGTAGTACTAGTAGTAGTCGTAGTAGTAGTAGTAGGAGGAGTAGTAGTAGTAGTAGCAGTAGCAGTAGCAGTAGTGGTGGTATTTCTGCTAGGAGGAGGATCAGGAGGAGCGTAGGTAGTGCTAGTGGCATTGGTAGTACTATGTTGTCGTAGCATCATCTTCTTCCTCACAAGCGTGGCGGCATTCAGGTGAACTTCGCGCCGAGCTCCCGGAATATGTGGAGCGCTGCAAGTCTATAGGAGCTTCGGCTGAAACGAGGTGTCACACATGTTACTGGCAAACATTTTGAGACTTTGTTCTTGGTCGTAAACGATGCTAGCATTCACGCTGGACAGCTTTTTGACCGCACAACTACCTGATGGCTGTGGCAATTTGGGGTTGCCGTTTCCTGTGACATTTTGCAAGCGGCAGTCGCATCATAGCAACCATGCCAATACTGACCTTTAAAGACAATACTAGCTGAACAAGTGATTATGACTTGCCATGGTTTGAAAGACCAACGATTGTACTGAAAGTCAGCGAATGGTCATGCATACCGTATCACAAAAATGCTGTTATCGCTGCCGGTGTTGTGACTACTGCTTCGTTGCCCTTATCATTCACACTCCTGTATTGTCCGTTGGCTCGTGCCATTACTACCTTGTTGTCACGGAAGTTCAGACTTCTCATGACTCTCGTGTAAGGAGAGCAGGTTGCGAGCCCCACCGTGATGTATGCAGTCAGGCAGAAGGCACAGGGGACATTTGAAATCGGAATGGGAAATTTGTTCGAGTTGTGGCTCGCCTTTTTGAGGTCCTTGCGGGGACCACATGTTTTATGTGTGGGTTGGTTCGGTTTGGCCAGTAACTCCCCGAGCTTAAGTTGGTTTACGGATATCATTCCGAATTCATGGCGTTAACTTTACGTTCTGTGGAGGATGATGGAGGACCCTTCTGGTGTTCATAGTTGTCAGAGCTTTTATTGAATTTTGCATGTTCTTGGCCACTTGGTGATCGATTACTGGGCTTCTTTTCCCTGTACGCCCCTAATTGGTGTTTTGTTTCAAGACCTTGCTCCAGTTGCGTGATGCTGACAGGCACTGGACCATCTGCGTAAATGTCACAAAAGACCGAAAGTAATAGCTTGTCTCAAGCTACGGGCTGAACATAAGCATAACGGCTCCCTGCTAAAGTAGCCATGCCCGAACCTCCCCCTAATCAAGGAGTCTTTGCGTAGCTGATCTGTAAAGAACTTTTTGTATAACCCACAGGACGGCAGCAACTACATCGTGGACGACTATTACAAGGGCTACAAATGGCTTGAGCCTTTCGGACTTGTGGTGTGTCAAGACGGTGATTATAGGGGCGCTCCTGATAGTGTGATTATGTTGGTTTTTGGCGTTTTCAACGGGGCATTGACTTGGATTTGACAAGAGAAATACCCACCTGACCTTTGAGATGCGTGCAACTATGCAGAATGAAGACTTTCAGTCTGATCAAGGGGTGTGGTATATGTTGTTTAGGATGGGGTTTCCGTGATCCTGCATTTTGTCCCAGAGCGCCTTCTGTCAGCCACAGCGCATTATTCGTTCCAGGGACCCTACATGTTCATGATCCATCCCTCGGCAGTGTTGCCGTTACTGTAAAAATCAGAAAAGAATGATATTCGTTCCAGGGACCCTACATGTTCATGGTCCATCCCTTGGCAGTGTTGCCGTTACCGATAGAAGCCCTTTGGATCCCTGTCGCGCACAGTCACACAGAGACGCGCAATCCTATGACAACCTATGCAGACACCGACCCGATACACGCAAATGTTCAAACTCTTCAAACATTAGCCCCTAAAACCAACGACTGTCAGTAATAAACTCATGAGCCAGCCAACCCCTCAAACGCGAGACGATCCTTGAGAGCCAGGCAAAACACGGCGCAAGATGCCCGAGTCATGGCCTGGTGGGACTACGGCTGCCAGCCATGGCACAAGGATTTAGGATCGAAAGCCTGCTGGCAGTCTGTACGCAAGGTTTTGGGTGCTTTCAGCAGTCAATGGTGATTTGCCATGGTTCGCAGCGCTTTGAGTTGCTTGAAGGTCTGCACTTGCCTCTGGTTTTGATTGATAGTTTCACCTTCTCGCACGCCGAAGACATGTCTGGCCCGCCAAGGCTACCAGATCACAGGCATCGCAAACAGGCCCCGTCGCCTCTTGCGAAGTATTCAGTTGCGGTGGCAGTTAAAGGGAAAGGGGCAGACGTGCGTTAGTTAGTTGGACGAACAGAGCAGGAGTGCGAAATGGAGCATGAGTAGGAGTTGTTTTAGTACAACAGGTTGGGGCAGCAGGCAGGGGGCACCAGAGGTGGAGTGAAGGCAGGAGGTGAGGGAGAGGAGAAGAAGCCAGAGCAGAAGCAGAGGCAGAAGAAACAGCAGCAAGAAGAAGAAGAAGAAGACGAAGAAAAGATCAACAACAATCACGATGTCATGACCACATTCTTGCTGACCTGCTCTTGCCAGGACTTCCATTGCCGACGGAAACACATGGCAACTTGATCCCGTTGTTTTAAAGTTCTCTTTTCCAGAATACCTACAAGAATTCTGGGAGGAACCAGATTCTTGTGCTCTGCGCGCAGCCTAGCCTCAGGAACCACGAGCACATTGCGACCCTCGGGCGGACGCTCACTAGCGAGGCGGCCCTTGTATCCTCATGTAGCGTTCCCCAGTTTCAGTAAGATGTTGCGGTCAATGCTTGGACCCGGGTACGGAACAGGCGCAGTTCTGAATGAATCGCCAGTGGTGCTGAGTGTGGGGAGGAATCTTTACCGGAGCTTTCGCATTGATTGCACCTTTCCCCACCACAACTTAGCTATGTACAAGGCATTCAAGTCCCATGTGTTTTCCAGAAGAATACGTTCATGGCTTCATTATTAACAGAGAGGCTCGCAAGCTTCCTTCAACAACCAAGCAGTTCTCGCGGACGTTGTGAACCTGAGCATACTTTTGGAGGTCAAGCGAGCACACAATGCCATTCGGCACTTGGCCGACTATGTGCTGGTTTGGGGCGGCGGGCAGCCTCCTGGCATTCCTGGCGATACATAGGGTGACATACGGTTGCAAAAAACAGAAAGTCTTTGACTTAAGTAGGGGCTTAATTCGACTATGTGTGAACAGATTCAAGCAGTTTGGCAGAAGCTGCGATTGCTGTTACGACCGCTTGAAGTTGCAGTTATTGTTGCGACTTGTCCGGTTTCAGGTTCCGTTTTGTTCGCGGGTCCGGTGAGAGGAGTTGCTAAGAGCCTTCACAAGTTTCCCCAGTATTCTGTGGAATTCCATCCCGTCCCAGATTCCTGACTTTGACGGGTAGTCCTGTAACCGTGACATCTAAGTTGTAGTCAAGCGTCAGCACAGTCCTTCCAAACCTGAACACTAGCTGCGTAAAGTCCAAGCCAAGTCAAAGTCTGACTTAAGAACTTTGCAAGCACGGCTATCAACTGCTTCGGGCATCTCAAAGGTCAGCAATAAGCCACCGACAGGAAGCCTTGCAAACAGCTGACACCCCAGGTCCAAGAGCGAATTTCCTCAAAGCTGCCCAAAACGCTCCAAGCGGTTGCAAGGCGAGATGACCTTGGCAAGTCCCCCCACCTTGCAAGGCGCATATGCTAAAGTTACCAATTGCTAAGTTACCAATCTTGTTAAGCTTCCTCTTGCCTGTACAGCGGGTGACCATTTAGTTACCAACTGTTGCGATCCTGTCAGCCTTCTTCCTAGCTTTGCCCATCAGCGTCATCTTCGTTATTATGCTTGATTCTCGCATGGATAGTATTGCCGTTCATGCTAGCTGTCTAATTTCTCCACCTCTATACATGTTGTACTTTTTTCAGGACTGTGTTCCGCGATCGTTTTCGGGCAATCCAGACATGGACACAGGTACCGTTCACGGCATCACCACTATCAGCAGCATTACAATTATGAGCATGCTTTAGCTTCTTGTATCATGCTCTTGTCAGTGTCAGATGCAGTAGACATGACCCACATGTCTTCTCCACAGCCACCCTACCATTTTACTTTCCACTGGGCGATGGAGGATTGGAAATTCCGTCTTCCCGGACCATTGTGGCGACGACGACCCAAAGTGTATGAAGTTCGGCCTTCCGGCTTCGCTTGGGTAAACAGTCAGGCTACCAGCGTCAGCAGTGATGGTATCGCACTGTCACAGTATACATGCAGTATGTGTGCTTTAGCATTGACATTTGGTTTTGCATACTTTTTGTACGGAGTTTGCATGCATGAGATTCAAAAAAGCAAGCGGTGCCCATTCCTTGGCTGGAACAAGGGCTGGAATTCCAGCTACAGATGAAGGATTCCTTTGCTTTGGCATTATGTGCTTGGGGACGGGAACTGGACTGATGGGGCCATTTCGTGCAAAGGAGCTCATCCCAAAATTGGGCTCCCAACTCATTAGGTAAAGGGTGTAGGGTTTTACGGCTGCCATGCGCAACTCAGCTTCTGTACATGCTTCGGAAATAATTGGGTATGGCGCATCGGCGCAGTCTCCAGATGCGGCTTGAATGAGGTGTCCTTTTCTAGCTGTTGGGGTGTAGAGTGTAGGGTTCAGGGATCTGGTCTGAGGCTTCTATGCCGATCGGTCGCCGACCCCAATGATGGAGAAGTCCTTGCTGTACAAGCTGGCAGCTTGTCCTGGTGCATCCTGAAATATGACCGCTGCTAACCGTGACAGTAAGGCATGCTAACTCTCTTCATGGGCCCGGGCTTATCTGGCTACCTGCGCCGGGATGCCTTGATATTCAGGAGGATTCTAGGGTGACAGGACAGGGCAAGTTCTAGTAATTTGCACAGCTTTGGCTATGAACAGTGTCTGACCTGACAGCCGCACGGTCTGGAGAATGCCTTACTCAATCGTTGCAACATACATACAAGCCCTGCAGACCAATGACCCCTGCAGCTTGCCAGCATGATCCCTACAGGATCCTTACACCACAATCTTGAAGAATAATTCGAGTGTAGGTACAGGGAAGGTTTTTGAGAAGCCAGCTAGGAGCTGCTGCACCTGTTATGACAGGGGTTGAGGGAACGGGGCTGCTTTGAGTAGGAAATGGCCAGCGTTTTCCCAAACTCTCCCAGGTAGAGCACAACAACAAGAAGGGCGTGAGGGTGAACGAGCGCCTCGGGGAGAATCCATGACCTCCCTGACTAAGTGCAAGCTGTTGTGGCCTCAGGGAGGCATGTACCATACTGCCAAAACTACTGCATCAAAATTTGGATGGAGCCATTGCAGCGCAGGCTTGGGGATTATGCCTCCTGTTCCAAGGTGACACCTGTTTGCGGTCTAGGACGGAGGAGGTTGACATTTTGCAGTAGCCACATGTAAGATGCAGATAGTTGTGCCAGAGCCTTCTTAGACAATAGGCTCTATCATCTTCATCCGCCGCAGTGCCTCAGTGTTAGTTAAAATCCTGAGGCGTTACTTCAAGCACGTTCACACCACCAAGCATGGCCTGATGCCACTTGGCCACCACGTGTCATGGTCATTTGGGCAGCTTCCAAAATCAGGGTCCTTTTTTTGTGTCCAAATGCTGGGTGCTTATTGTGAATCATCCCTAAACAAAGCCATGCCAGGGATTGTAGGACATTGACAAGCTGCTGCCAGTGGCATTGCACAGTCTTTCCCTAGGCCCTAACCTCATGATGAGATTTCCAGAACGGACTTGTGGGTCTGCAGGACTTTCTGAAGTCTAGTGTCCCCCGATACACAGCCAGAAAACATGATTCCCAGTCTAAGTTAACAGATGCTACGCCATAAACCTTCCTCGATCCCTACATATGCATATATATATATATATATTTATGTGCGTGTGCGTGTCTATTTGTGTAAATGAATATCCTCACAAAGAGGCCCACAATTTCAAAAACACGCACATTAAGTCTCGGTAACAAATCGACAGCCTGCAGACAAGGCGCATCTATGAGGTGCAGAATGTGTCCCAGGAGCAGCATTGTTGTGTTCGATTCGGAGCGATGTAGAAGTCAGAAGACTCGAACGTGACAGACAGGATGCCAAGGGAAGGGCGGAGTAGGGTGCATGAAATTTTATCAGGATTTGTAGGTACAGCCCGTAATGCTTAAGGGCATCGTCCTCTCATAGCCTCTGTAACCATTAGCCCTGCACCTGTAGTCGAATTGCTTCAGTTTCTCGACTGTCGACGAGCAAGACTGTCCAATATAACCCCAATATACTATAGTAGTTTCCATTTTCTTTTCCATTATCCCAATATTAACCCCAATATAACCCTAATATTCGGGACTATAACCCAATATATACCCTATTATAATATAGTAGTTTCCATTTTCTTTTCCATTATCCCTATATAACCCTAATATCCAAGGACTTTGGGAATTTGTTCAACCAGATCAGGGTTGAACTAGGGACTGTGACCGTAGAAGTGTGTGTTCATTGAATTATGCAGGTTCTCAAGGTTCTGAAGGAGGGTGGGGGCTATTCTTCACGGGGCTCTGTGAAGATCCCAACTCAGTTATGCCAAATTATCCTGATGTGTGATCCCTTCATAAGGAAGTATGCATGACAAAGGTGAGGGCTTCTGATGCTCTTTTCAACCTTCTCAGAAGTGCAGAACTCGGAGGAGAGCAAGGACTGGATCGCCGACCCGAGCAATCGAGTTTGCGATGCGCCGGGGAGTTGGTATTGCCCCTCAGATGCCTTGATGAAATTTTTGAGAGGTTCACTGCAGCAGAAACATATGCAGTTCTTCTGGTGTCAATCCTCTTCATGGCCCAGATCTTATGCACACACTCCCCTTTCAAAAAACAATACGCACTGGAAGCTAAACTGGGAAGCTGGAGCAGACAAGGTGTTGGCCAATACCCCCCTGCCTTGAGCAAGCTGATCGCGAAGCGGAGGAATTTCGCGCAGATTGAGGACAGAAGTTTTTTTGCTAATGCCGGGCGCGC